AGGATGTTCGCTGATGATATGAAAATGTACGGGGCAGTCACCAGCACCAACGACACACAGGCACTCCAACAAGACATGGACACACTCTCGCACTGGTCACAGACATGGCTGATGAAGTTCAACATATCCAAATGTAAAGTGATGCATTGCGGCACAGGAAATCCTCGAAGAGTGTACCATATGACACAGGACGGAACCTCGGAGTCGCTGGAAGAGACCTGCAAAGAGAGAGACCTGGGAGTGATTGTGGAAAATACATTGAAGCCGACACTACACTGCAAGATGGCAGCCAGCAGAGGCATGTCAGCCCTGAAGCAGCTCAAGGCGACCTTCCGCACAATAAGCAGGAGAAACTTCAAGCCACTCTACAACGCTTTTGTCCGACCCCACATCGAGTACTGTGCCCAAGCGGTTGGACCATACATGGCGCAAAACTTCAAAGCGTTGGAGAAAGTTCAGAGAAGGGCGACAAAGATGGTGAAGGGGATGAAGAACGTACCATACAAGCAGAGACTCATCAATCTTGGTATGACAAGTGTAGAACAGCGCCTACGGAGAGGAGACCTCATCGAGACCTACAAGATATTGACGGGGAAGACGAAGCTGAAGCCGGAGCACTTCTTCCAGCAGAGCCAGGAGGGGAGAACCAGAGGACACTGCCTCAAGCTGACCAAGAAACGAGTGACCCACCATGCAAGGATGATGTTCTTTTCTCAACGTGTGGTGTCCCCCTGGAATGCTCTGCCAGAGGAAGTTACATCGGCACTGACTACGAACAGTTTTAAAAACCGGTTGGACCACCACTGGGCCACAAGGAATCCTCACTGAGTCATTTCTGACCTTATCCGGATGTGGGCCCTGAATAGACCCGGTCTACCCAAGCCCACTAGTAAAACCTAAACCTAAACCTAAACCTACATATATATGAAGTTTTTCTCGAATAACTTTCAAAGTATCCCAGCTACGAACAAACTAATAGCACCATCGTGATCCTCTCGTCGATCCGCATCGAAACATGTGTATGTTGACCTTGAAAGGTCAAGGTCAAAAGTTGACCTTAGGTCACTGACCTTAAAGGGACCCTCCCACCTTAACATTAGTTTTGAGTTGAGATAGCCAAATTGGTGGCCATGGCCTGAAAATACCGGTTTGGGCATTCACAACATCGAAAAATGCTTTAATTCGGAGATATGGAATTTCAAACTTGCAGTTTTCGGATTCTAAGGGGCTAATGCATTGGTATGCCCCCTTAGAATTTGTGACGTCAGCGGAGATCTAACGATTTTTAAATCTTTTACTAAAACGTTTGGCAGCACGCGGTGGTATATGCTGCTTTGCGCGCAACAAATGCCGCACTTTCAAATAAAGTCGCTAGGAACAGCGGAGATCCCAAAAAGTAAACAAAAGTAAAAGTCTAATATCTTCAAAACCGGTGAATATTTTTCGATGAAATTTGGTAGATATTCATTTTTGCTCTTTCTGAACCGAGCGACATCACTTTCATGCCAATTCATTAACTTTTTTGAAGGTGGGAGGGTCCCTTTAAGGTCATCATATATATCATTCGATGGGCCTTGACGAGCTGAACACCATGAGCCTATCCGCGCGGCTGTATCTCAAACATGTAAGGAGTTATTAGCAAAAAAAAAACATTTGGTGACCTTTAATGACGTCACATGACCCAAGAGCAGCGTCACAGTTAACCAAGTGCAAAAAAGGTCTCAAGGTAGTCAAAGTTAGTCGTATATGAAGTCACTCATGGTATATTAGGCAATTCCGACGCGTTTTAGTGTAAAAACAAGGGAGCTGATTTTTCCCCAATTGAGTTATAATGGGTTGGTCAAGAAATTGACCTGACCTTAGGTCATCGGTATTAAAATTCAAAACGAACTGGTGCTAGGCGAAAGCAAGCACAATGGTGCCTGTTCCACGTCTCTTTCTTTATTAGATCAAAAGGTACAGCCAAAACTATTTTGACTTCCTTTTTTGACCCCTTTTGACCCCTGTGACGTCATTTTTGACCTGACCTGAAAATGACCTGAGTAAAAATTGTAGACCTTATCGGTGTGAATCCTGTACCGTTTACCGCTTGTCGCTATCTTGCTTTATTCTCGAGATCTCGCTGTCGCTCCCGCTCGTAATAATGGACAGGTCATAAAAATGGCCTGACCTGAGGTCAACGCAGGGCGATAGCCACTTTTTTATTATCGCATATGAATGACAATTGATAAGGCTTTAATCGTTATCAGACATAATTGCGACTTTCAGTTGGGAAAATATCAAGGTCACTCTTCGAAAAAAAAGGCCAAGATGTCACGTAATCAAAATTTTCAAAAATCGAAAATCTGAGATAGCCAAAACGTTTGTTGGTTGATTGCGAGTTGAACCATATAAAGTTTTTACCATAGAAAACCAATAGTTTCTGAGTTATAAGCCGCCAAACATAGGGTTGCAGCGTGACCTCCAGGAATTGCCTGAGGCTATATCTCGGAAACCGTTGTTCGAAGAAAAAAATCCTTGGCACAGCTGGCTTCCTCGCCCACCACAACCCATTAGACCAATTTTAAGCAAAAAATAAAATATGAGGGTGTATGGCTTTGGTCGATCTATCGTGGAATGCCCCAGGTGGTGCACGATGCCGGACACGTCCAGAGTGGTGTTTGGTGACGACAACTCTGGCTCCTGCGGGCGTCCGCAGTACGGCCAGGCCTTCCACATGTATCTGACGTTGGCGTCTGCGGCGGTGTAGAACAGTCCGTACCTGGCAGACTTGCTCGGCCGGTACATCCGGGACGAGCAGCGCCCTCTGAACCGCAGGAGGCTCTCATCAAACGTGATGCACTATGCTGATTGCTGGTTTGTAGTGAAGTGAAGCCGGAGATTCGTGTTCAGTTTATTGAAGAGCTCTCGCAGGGGACAAAACTTGTCCCCCTTTCGGCGCTCGTCACCAAGGCCGTATAAGAGAGGTAGAATCATCCCGCAATTTCCAATGGACCGGTCGCTAAGCATTAGCGTGACGTCACTGGTGGAGACCGCGCGGCGCCCGGCTCCAAGCCGTACGTCGGGTACATTTGGCACTTTATCGGTGTTATTACTGAACGTAACGACAACTAGTGACTCTTAATAACTTTTTTACCCACCTAAAGCTGATTTCCTTGCCGATACATTGCCGACCCGAGCCCCAGGGTTGACAATCTTGGGATATGGGTCGTATGGGCGACCTCGCGACGGGAGAAGGTACGATTGCAATTGTTGTGTCCCGCACCGCCGATTGCATTCTCTATCTGCACCCGGAGGGGGTGGGGGGGGGGGGGCAGGGGGCACGTGCCCTCATCGGATCAGGGGGCCTCTCGGCGGCTGAGGGTCCACGCTGGCATTTTCGACTCAGAAGGGCCCCACAGGGCTCAAAAGAGCACCTTATGTGCTCCGAATAGCCACACTTCTCTCCATAAGAGCCACACACCGGCTTTTTATTGTTCCTTGTCGGCATTTGAGGGCCCCTTGCCGGTCTCTCAGGGCCCATTGGCGACCTCTGAGGGCTACTTGCCGGCCTCTGAGGGCCCTTACCGGCCTATCAGGGACCAGCAGCTTTAAGGGTTCCACACACGCCTGTGATGACCCCTAAACCAATGGTTGAAGGCCCCCACAACGGCGCCTGCGAGGGCCCTCACCGGTGGCTGTGAAAGCCCCAAACCGGTGCCCAGCTGAGGGCCCCACACTGCCACCTCTGAGTTCAACCGGCACCCCTGAATGAAGTTCCAAAGGCCCAAATCAGTGCTTCTTACGGCCATATATCGGCGGCTCTGAGGGCTCGACGCCGGAGCCTCTGACGGCCTAAGACGGGACCTTCGCATCGGACGGCCACTCACCGGTGACTTTTGAGGGCCCCACACCGACGACTCTGAGGGCCACCACCGGCGTCTGAGAGTACCTTACTGGTCTCTGGACTCTGAGGACTCCACAGGGCTCCTGAAGACACCGCAGACCTCTTGAGGGCCCCTTGTCGGTCTCTGAGAGCCCCTGATCGGCTTATAAAGGGTTCGAGCCAGCAGCTCTAAGGGCCCCACACCCGGCTGTGATGACCCCACACTGCAGTGTCTCTGAGGTCCCACAATGGCAACTGTGAGGACCCTCACCAACGCCTCTGAGGGCCACACACTAGCACCTCAGAGGGCCCACAGCGGTACCTATGGGGCCCCGCACCAATACCTCCGAGGGCCTCACACCGGTACCTACCTGTGAGGGCCCACACCCAGTGCCTCCAAAGGCTATAACCGCCGGCCCTGAGGGCACTACACTGGTGATTTCTGGGGGCCTACCGAAGGCAAAACACAATCCCTTAGTCTCGCTGAGTTTCTATCCCAATCCCATACCAGCTTCTATCCCAATTCCGGCTCAACTAATTAGCAGCCCCCCCCCCCCGTGGGTCAGCGGCGCCGCGCCGGTGACCCATGGTTAGCGCTTAGCACCGGCGGCTAGCGCAAGTCCGGCGTGTTATCGGCCGTGAGCCGCTCCAAAACGGCTGCAGTAACTGGTCGATATAGGCATTAAGCAGATGAGGAGATGCAGGTGGATTGATGACCGGCAAGCTTTTGTGCTTTACGAGGGCGAAGGGTCGAAGTCGGCTGCTAAGCCGTGAGCGGATTTTATCAGATACCGGTTCACTAAGATCTTTATCCGGGTCCTGGTCCGCTGACGCACTCTTGGAGAGCCGAATCACAGCAAAACTCCATCCGCGACTGTATCTATACGGCCTACGCTTTTCTGAAAACGTCTGCGTTTGGCCTTCTGCGGGCCCGGCCAGCCGGCCGGACGGCCCCGATTGGCGATCCACCAGTCACGTCACTGGTAGTGTTAAGCTGATTGGCGAATAATACATGGGGAAAACCGGGACGACATCCCCCATGGTCGTCACGGGTGCTGCGATCGTCAAAGGTCAGCATATTCAGGAGCATGCCGAACCTCCTGTTGTTGTTGTTGTTGTTTTCCCCCCGGCCCCGTCACCGGGGCGTAGTCGTTCGGCTCTGGAAGGACCGAAAGCCGGCGGCCAAGGCCGCCACCACGTCGTCCCGTCTGGCAAGTCGGTGGGGCGTCCGTGAATGTTGCCCATGGCGAGGAGGCGGGCCCCGCAGAGGCACGGGCAGCGCAGCAGGACGTGTTGCGGGGTGTCCGCCTCCTCGCACACCAGGCACCGGGCGGCCGGACAGCCGGCGTCCGCGCAGCCGGGGCAGGCGGCGGTCGGCCGGCGGCCGATACGGTGGAGGTACTGGGCTGACATGCTCCAGTGGCCGGCCCGAAGTTGATGCACGTCCACCGCGGCCTCTCGACTGTCAAGCCGGACCGGCGCGGGCAGAGTCTGATCCGTGAAGATGGAGCGGTACCAGCCGTCGGGCCAGCTCTATTGCCAAGAGCGGCGAGCAGTCCTGGCGGCGGCGCGGGTGATACTCCTGACGTCCAGGGGGACGTCAGGACGTCATTTACGGCCTGGTCTAGCTCGGCGGCTTCCCGCGCCAAGGCATCGGCTCGTTCGTTGCCAGGCAGGCCACAGTGGGCCGGGACCCATTGAAGGTGGAGGCGGCGTCCGCTGCTGGCAAGCTGCAGAAGGAGCCGCCAGATGTCAGCACCCAGCTGGCTTGCCTGTGCCGCCGGGCCCGCGTCCACTGTCTGCAGCGCCGCCCTGGAGTCGAGGCAGATAATGGTGGTCGGGTACCTGTCCGGGTCCGGTGAGGTGTCTGGTTTGGCGAGCTCTTCCAGCGCGGCTCGAAGGGCCACCAGCTCGGCTCGTGTGCTTGAGCAGAGAGAGCCGGCGGGGGCTCTGACCGTGTGCTCGGTGCCGGTCGGAAGAGCGATCAGGGCGCCGCCTCCTCCGCGTGCGGTGCCGCCGTTCGCCGATCCGTCGGACCACACCCAGGTCGCCCGCTCCGCTCCGGGGAGGTCGGACAGCAGTGCCTCCGCCGCTGCACGGCGGGCGTGTTCGCCGGCGCTGCGGACGCACTCGGGCGGGACGGCGCAGGAGATGGAGATCCCCTCGCGTGAGGTCCATGGCGGGAGCGGTACGGCGACCATAGGCTCAACCGAGGAGGCGGCGACACCTAGGGTGCCCAGTGTCCGTCTTCCCTGGTCGCGCCATCCTGTGACTCCCATTAAATGCCAATCTCTACCAGCTCCAGAAACTCTCCACCCCTCATTGCGTTTGTCACAATGAACCAGAAACAATACACCATTTTCTTTTAACATGCCCTCTTTATCAGGAAATCAGAGCTAACCTTTTCACTCAGCTTTCACTGGTCTTAGGTAACCAAATTCTAAATTTACCTCGAAGAGACCTAATTCACAATTTAATACACGGAGACAGTATCACCCCAAGCACTGACGGCGGCCGGGAGGCCGCGGCGCTCTTCCAGGACTTCGTGGTCAGGGCGATGGCACTGCGGCGGGCGGCGGGGGCGGCTGCTGACTCAGCGGAGGAGTAATCTCACACTCCTGTTTATGTTCGCCTTTCATTTAATTTATAGTTATGTTGGTGTATTATGTTAATCCCGGCGGTGTCATGTTTTGTTAAGTTCTATTGAATGTGGAGACTGGAGAGGTGCCTTGAGTTAAGCTTTAGGCTTTTGCACCAATCCTATTTGTATGTTTTGTGTGTCTTTACTTTGTCTGGTCTGTTAAAATAAATGAGTTGAGTTGAGTTGAGTTGAGTGACGTTGCGGAGTCGGCAGGGGACGGTGGCTTCGGCGAGCTCGCGGAGCGGGTCCTCGGCGGGCAGTGCAGAGGCGCGCGCCAGCATCCTCGCGGCGAGGGTGGCGCTGCGCATCTCTGCGGTTGGCAGACCAGCCTCCGCCATGAGAGCGTGGGCCGGCGTGGATAGCGGGCAACCAGTCACGGCGCGGGCCGCCGCGCGCAGCTCCCGGTCCACCAGCTCCAGGTGGGAGCGGGACGCCGCAGGAAGCCACGCGGCCGCCGCATACTCGATGGCGCCGCGGATGTACCCGTTGGCCACGGCGCGCAGGTGGTGCTCACGAAGCCCCCATGAGTGGCCGGTGAGCTTCCGCAGTTGGTTGATGCGAGGGCGAGCCTTCCTCTTGAGGTTGGCAAAGTGGTCGCCGAAGTGGAGGAGCCTATCGAGCGTGACCCCCAGGAGCTTGACGGTGGGGGTCGCTCGGACAGGTGTGCCAGACATCAGGATGGTGGTGTCCTTGGCGTCTCGGCTCCACTGAGACAGCACCATGATCTGGGTCTTCTGGCTCGCGATCGTCATCTTGTTCCGTGTCGCCCATTTTGCGAGGAGGTCCGCCGAGTGTTGAGCCGCGGCTAGAGCTGCCTGGATTGTCGCGCCGGCGCTGAGTGTGGCAGTGTCATCGGCGTACATGAATATGTCCGTTCGGGGGGGGGGGGGCACGGCGAAGGTCGGCGATGAGGTCGGCAGCCCATATGGTGTAGAGGGTGGGGGGCGAGGACCGAGCCCTGGGGGAGGCCCGCTCTGAAGGGGCGCTCCCTGCTTCTCACCCCGTTCACCTCCACACAGGCTTGTTCCAACCATCCTGGACTGACTGGACCAGCCTGGCCGGGTTATCCTCCGCTGCACGGCCGCGGCGGAATCCCACCTGCTCCGGGGGGATCAGGCGGTGGAGATTACAGAGATGAGTGAGCCGGGCCGCCACCATCCGCTCGGCCAGCTTTGCCACACAGCTGGTGAGGGCGATTGGGCGTTAGCTTGATACCTCCTTCGGGTCCTTGCCGGCCTTCGGTATTGGGATGATGACCGCCCTCCTCCAGTCCGCGGGGATCTCGGCGAGCGCCCAGCTCTTGTTGATGAGTTGGAGCAACCCGTCCCTGGCTCGGGGGCCCAGGTGCTGTAGGTGCTCCGCGCACACTCCGTCCGGGCCCGGGGCCTTCTTGGGCTTCAGCTTCTGGAGCTGGGCGTCGAGCTCCGCGGCGGAGAAGGGCTGGCAGGCGTCAGTCCTTTGATTTTGACATGTGCAGGAGGCGCGTCTGAGTCTTTTCAGCTCGGCCTTGGTGAGTTTGTCCCATTTCTTCCGTCTCACGTGTTTGCTGACGGCGGCGTATGTCGAGACGAAGGCCTCGGCCTTGCTGCGGTCCCCCACGGCCTCGCGGCCGCGGTCCCCGTTAACAGCTTGGCCGGGAGCAAACGTCTGTGCTGCGCCCTCCATCTAGCCGGTCCCGTAGCTCAGTTGGTAGAGTGTTGGACTCCGCGTGGTGAGAGCACGCGTTCCCGGTTACAACAGTCCGGGTTCGAAGCGCGACGGGCGCTTGACATTTATGGGCCTCCTGACAGGTATGGTTGCGGTTGGTGGCAGGCCGTAGCCAGGTGAAGTCAGTGAGGGGACCGGCCGTGCGCGGCTATGTGCGCACGTTAAACTTTGGACTCTAAATTCTGCCATAGAACTGGAATTGCGCGATCGGAGGGTAGAGGGCAGGATCACCGCAACAAGCTTCGCTTAGCGGTGGCTCTGTCCTTGTGAATCCTTCCCATCAAAAGGTTCGGACTAAATTTATAAAAAAAAAATAAAAAAAAATCTTGCGAAGGACTTTAGTGACACGGCCGAGACTTGTTGGCTTGTTCAGTTCTTCGGATGCGAACTTCCTGAATGACTTCTTCCTGGCTGTTTCTTCTGCGGCGGCCGCGTTCCGCTTCTTGAGTTTCCAAACCTCGTGATTTTCTTCGGTGGGGGAACGTCGTAGGGCTGCTCTCGCCTCCCGGCGCTCCGCCACCGCAGCCGACAGCTCGGGGTCGAGGGCCCACGGTTTAGGGTCCGCTCTGGCACCTCGAGGGATGTGACGGGCGCTGGCGTTCATCAGGGCGTCCGCCAGATGCTTGGCCATCTGATCTGTGGACTGGTCGGGCCGAGGGAGAGATGCGAACTTCGATTCGCACTCCTCGGTGTACGCCGTCCAGTCCGCTTTATGAAACGCCCACCGTGCCTTGCGGATTCGGCGGGGGCGCGATCCCGTGACTGCGACCGTGACCACCTGTGGGAGGTGGTCGCTTCCGAGGTCCTCGCCGATGTCCCATGTGCAGCGTCTGGCCAAGTCCTGGTGTGCCGTCGTTAGGTCGGGGGCCGTGGGCGGCCCTCGCCCGTAGCCGTCGCGGGTAGCAGCGCCGGAGTTGAGCACAGCTCAGCCGTTCCGATTGATCCAGTCGTGTATGACGAGACCAGGTCTGTCGGGTTCAGCGCAGGATGCGTCCCTTGAGTCATGATGAGCGTTGAAATCGCCGGTGATGAAGACACGGTTCGAGGTCGGGAATGAGTCCATTGAGAAGTGGTCCATTCGATCGTCCGCCTCCCCCGGGCGAATCGGGGGGCGGTAGACGTTGTAGATGTCGTAGTTCGGGTTTGTACGGGTCGAGTCCGGCTGACTAGATAGAGGAAAGATCCGGATGGCGCACCATTCAGTGGAGTCGTCTTGAGGGTGGAGAGGCGACTGGTCGATGGTCGTGAACTGGATACCGTCGCGGACGAAGAGCGCCACGTCTCCGCCCTTGACGGGTCCGCCGCCCCTCCTCCCACGCGCCCGGCGGGTGACCGCGGCGGTCTGGTAACCCGAGAGGGCAGGTGTCTGGTTTGCAGCCAGCTGGGCTTCTTGGACCGCCACTACGTCCGCTTTTACTGCGCTTAGCCAGCGTTGGAGCTCCTGCTTCTTGGTCCGGAGGCCTTCCGCGTTCCACGACACTATGGTCAGGCGGCTTCGCGTTTTGCGGTTCAGTCGGTAGCGACGGTTCTTCGCCCGGCGGCTGCGGCCCCCTCGGGCTCCCCCTCCACGGGCACCCGATCCCCCGCCGAGGGCGCTCGCGGCGGCGGGGTGTTCATTTAATTAGGCGGGCCAGCGGCCGCTGCGGCCCTGCCGCGCGGCCCGCCAGCCCGCGGGAGAGGTGCGCCCCGCACCGGGCTGCCAGCTCGCGCGAGGCGCCGGACGACGTGGTGGCGCGTCGGCCACCAGCGATCGCCCCTCCATGGGGCGAGTTGAGTTGAGCTCCGTTTGGTTGGCCCCGGCGTTCGCCACGTCGGGGTTGGGGCGAACCCCACACCGTCCACCTCGAGAAGGCGGAGCTCTCCAGACGGCAACCTCCAGATGCCGAACCTCCTCGGTCCCATCGTCGTCCTGAAAATGGCTGGTCCCGTTACTGAGTCAAAGAGCTGCTTGACCGTCAGCATCTTATAGAAGCCGCGGAGCACAAATAGACCCAGCAGAGCCTCAATCTCAGTTTCCGTATTAGGCTGGTAGAGAAACTGCTCTCTTTGTCTCACTTCGACTTCCTGCACTCGGCCAAGCTCGATCCCCAGCCTGCGGTTGGTCCTGTCCTTGATCTTTTTGAGTATGCTGTCCGTGATGAACAATTTGAAGGCGTCTTTTTCTGTAGTGATCCGACGAGCAGGACCACACACGCCCGACCGCTCTGTGAGAATATTGGCGAGATCTCGGCGGCAACTGCCGGCTGCGGCTCTGTGGACTACTCTGCCAGCACATTTTGACGGCGATCTTGGACAACATACGTAGCAGCAGGCCGGGGATCTTGCCGACGAAATTTCGCTTCCAGCAGCTTCCGCTGTGACCTAGTCAGGTCAGCGGGCCGCTGGGCTGTCTCGGCTTGATCTTGCTGTTGTGGCTCATCATCAGATGACTCGTGTTCATAGACGAAGCGATGAACGTTGACCTCTTCCTCAGATGTAGCCTCTTCATCGAGATATTCTTCTTCATCACTGGAGACGGGTTCGTCCAGAAAAAGTGCGGCGATTTCCTCAGGCGACAAACCTTGCTCCCGGCGAGATGCCATGTCGTGATCCTTGATGTGTTGTGTGTTTTTATATTGTCTTGTGTTTTAGACTTTGCGTGTCTGGCTTCGAATTTAGCTAGACATTAAGTGCACGTGTGTCGTGTATGTTACTTTTAATGGACACTGATTTACGTGCATTTTAAGGTTTGTGTTTTATCCGTGTTTATTTCTATTTTTAAGTTACATCATTTGTACATGCACCTGGTGTCAATAAACTCTACTACTACTACTACCACTGAAGAACAATGACAAATGTCGCCGTAGGCACATATTTATACCTCATAATTGCCCATTTGGAAAATTATGCACCGTTCGACGTTCCACGCGCGTCACGCACGCATCGAATTACGAGCTGTGGAAATTGAAGACCATCGAACTTTCCAGAACCCGACAACATAAAATATTTGCAAATGACCAGGGTTGTATACGATTCAAATTTTTGGTGAATCGATTCAAAAGCGAATCTTCTAGAACTGAATCGACCAGTGGCGCACCCAAGGAGGGGGGGGCCTGGGGTCCGTGCCCTCCCCTCGGGTATTTTTTAGGAGGCCCCTGAACCTGAACAGAGCTTCGAGTACTTTTAACTCGGGTACTGATCAGTGCTGCCGACAGGAGGCCCCTGGACAAATAGGGGCCCTCTACCAACAGGAGGCCCCCCGGACAAATAGGGGCCCTCTACCAACAGGAGGCCCCCTGGACAAATAAGAGTCCCTCTTTACAAATGGGAGGCCCCTGTACAGATAGGAGGCCTGGGCCCTCTACTAACAGGAGGCCCTCTGTACAAATGGGAGGACCTCTATATCAACAGGAGGCCCCCTGTACAGATAGGAGGCCCTCTGTGCCTTCAGGAAACCCTTTGCACGTATGGGAGGCCCTATGTACATGAATGGGAAGCCTTTGTGCACATGGGAGACCCTGTGTACAAATGCGAGGTCCTCTGTAGCAACGGAAGGGCCCTTGACAAATAAGAGGCCCTCTGTACCAGCAGGAGGCCCCCTGGGCAACTCAGAGACCCTCTAAACGAGCAAGAGGCCCTCTGTACAAATGGGAGGCCCTTTGTACAGATAGGAGGCCCTCTGTTCCAACAGCAGGCCCCCTGGGGAAATAGGAGGCCCTTTGCACACATGGGAGACCCTCTGTACATTAATAAAAGGCTGCTTGCACATAGGAGGCGCCTGTACACATGGGAGGCCTCTGAACCAGCAGGAGGCCCCCTGGGCAAATAGGAGGCCCTCTATAGCAACGGGGTGCCCCATAGACAAATGCGAGGAACTCTGTACAAATGGGAGGCCCATGTACACGTGGGAGGCCCTCTGTACCAGCAGGAGGCCCCCTAAACAATTCAGAGGCCCATTAAATCTCAACCAGCAAGAGTTCCTCTCAACCACCAAGTGGCCCTCTGTACGAATGGGGGCCCCCTGTACAGATAGGAGTCTCTCTGTTCCAACAGGAGGCCCCCTGAA